TCATTGATATTTAGAATAGTATATAAATAACAAATTATACTTCACATTGTTTGTGGATCCTACCTGAATGGATATTTAGTACGATGTACTTACTTACTTTTTAATTATTTCAGAACATTCAACAATATCTGAAAGGAGTTTGAATTCTACTCATTTTACATAAGTTCCATTAGTATTACATATTTAAACTTATGAATTATAAGTTAAATTATATAAATTACGTAAATATGCGTAAATATAAATTCAATTACATCATCACAGTTTCAAAATGCAGCTAAAGGAAGTGTCAATGAGCATACCTACAATATAATATCATCATCATCATTCTTTCCTATTACCCTCTACTGGAGTGTAGGGCTCGAATCAAATCTTTCCATTTACATCGGTTTTGGGCAGTCCGTTCCAGTTTCTCCCACGTCATGCCCAAGACCCCTAGCTCCTGCTCCACCGAGCGACGCCAAGTTGTTCTGGGGCGGCCTCTCCTCCTCCTGCCAGACACTTTCCAGATCAGTGCTCTCTTTGATAGGTGGGTATCGGGCTTTCTCAAAAAGTGACCAATCCAATGCCACTTCCGCGTAAGGATCTCCTTCTCCATTGGTGTCTGCTAAATGATCCTCTACAGCATAATATAATATAATATAATTGTACGAAAATATAGCAACACATAAAACCGAGATTAAATTGCGGTATGCAGAATCGCATGCAGATCCCGCAAGCACGTACCAATTTTAGTAAGATATACCCGATACATACGTATTTAACACAATGTTCATAATTGACTTCCACGACGAAGACATGACATCGTGTAATTAAAATGAAACTTGTATTGTTTAGCGCAGTGGGGCGTGTTATATAACACAATTTAGACTGCGACCTCATGACCTCAAACGGGTGACGGCATTCATGAGTCCGATAACCATAAGACGAAATGGGCCACCTATGCAATAAATAACCAAACATGTCACACGACTACTCAGATAATAAAAAGTACCAAAGTGTAAGCAAAGTCGAATAAGATGTGTGGCACTGTGATGGCTTCCTGTGAGCTGCGCCGCCTCGTCAGCTCTCGGGTGATGAAATATGATTCAACAGGATTCAAGCCTCGGGATGTCCATTGTTGACATGGACTACACATAGCTTGACTGGAGAAACACGATATTTAAATTATTTAGTAGAAATATCAACCTACAATAATGTAAATGCTGGTCTTCATGTGGTGGAAAATGAAAAAAGGGCTAACCGCGACCGTGCACTTCACACGGGTGTACCTACATCTATAAAAGAAAGGGGCTTATTGTCATACGCCAGAGCAGAGGTCATACCAACCAAACTGGAAACATAGATCTTCCACTGTAAAATTCCAGAAATCTTTTTTTTTTCAAACAATGTTTGTCTCTGGAATTGCTGTCCTCCGCGATATCTCTCAAGACGTAAAACGTGTCTTTCTTAAAGAGTTAGTTTGATAAAAGTTTTTCGCGATTGGTAACGTCTTCGCTTTGCTGATATCCATGAACGTCATTGACTGCTTAAGAACCTCTAGGTTCACAGAAGAGCTCACTTTTTATTCCGTATCATATTCCTTTCATCAAATCACTGTTATGTATTTGATTTGCGAGACATTTTAAAAAACAAAATTACTGAAAATTATCTTGTATGTGCCGTTTTAGTAAAGTCGGCCAATGAGTGATAGAAGCATGTAACATTTAAAAAAGAGTTTATTTAGGTTCTGGATGTGGTGTTTCGATAACTCCAATCAACGGTTTTTTAATTTACCAATATTTGATTGCCGTTACGAATGTTTGTCAAAAACTAACTACATACCACAGGGCTAACTTTGAGTGTTCAACTTAAATATATTAACTTAGATAGGAGTATACTTACATGGAGTCGGCAAGAGTGTGGGGTAGTCAAATAGAACGGTAGCTCCGCGGCTAGTTAGTACTCAGTAAGTGTATCCATATACTCAAACTATAAGGGGACATTTGGTCATTGTCGAGAAAAAAAACTAAACAATAATTAATCATACGTTAACAGCTAAGCTGCAAATGGGTGAAGAACCAATTTGTTAAAAATGATTAAATATGGTATGTCTCAAAACTGTTTGAACACCCATAAATATTCATGAACCTTAACAATACCGTTTGTTTACAGCCACAAGCAATTAAACTCATCTCGCATTTTCGCGTCTTTAATGCGCACCCTTACATTTGATGTTCTTGGCTGTAGACGTGTCCATATTATTATGATAGGTCCATGTGTTAGAGCATGTGTTTCCTCGGTCTAGCGGAAACCTATGCAAATATCGGAGAGCGCCCGCGTCACGTCCGCGACACGCACCGACTCCGCATACTGATCACTAAATACTACACAACTGCAACGTGTACGGTTTAAGACAATTATTTTCCCACAAGATCACCTACAGAGATTGCCATAGTACCGTACTACACCACAACTACAACCAACCAAAAAGAATAGCGGGGTAGACGCGACCATCTTTAAAGAGGTCTTGACGTGTCTAATGAAATGAAAATGGTTTCACAACAGATAACAATAACTGCTATCAAAGGTCTCGTCAGTGATGGACTCGGACAGCTCGGAGACCATAAACAAGTGATTTAATTCGACGCTGGAATCAGCGTAGCCCTAGAAAAGTAAATACTCCTTTCTACAATTGCGAAAATACTTGGAAAACTGAATACAATCCGTTCATGGCACCGCACTGGGTAGGGCTAAAGTTTAGTGATTATGTCAATATTAGGAACATATTATGTATACGGTATGTATGTGTCTGGGCGATAGATTTTCAAATAATTATTTTTAATTTCAAAAGTTTCGAAAATGGTTTTTCCGAAAAATGGTTAAATGGAAAGATCTGAAATAAAAAATAGTTTCTTTCTCGTTACCTTAAGTAGCCCGCTCTGTCTGAGTCGGATTCGATCTCGAGCGAAGAGGGTGTTTTCATTTGAGTTCCCTATCGCCTTGATTTCATTCCACCCAAAAGATCAGCAAGCGCCACTATACTTGGATAAATTCCTAACAGGCCGCCAACCGGCTCGAACCGACCGCTATGTTCCGATATTGTCCATACCATACTAAGGTACCATAATAAGGACGTCATTTAAAAAATCATGTACAAATCATTGTGGTCGGCAATGTACAGTAAATAAGAAAGGCATACCATACTCTATGTACTCGATAAAAAATATGAGTTAATGACGCAGACGGTAGTGACTCCCTGCTCACTGATAAGACACCCTCCGAGCACGTGCCCTACAAAAGAACCCTTGTCACTGGCTGTGCTAATATTGGGTGTCTTTATCTCAGCCCTGACATAAAAATCATATCAGATGGCAGGTGGGCATTATTCTTAGAAGTTTTTATGGTTAAGATTACTACGTTATAGTCATATTTAGGCACAGCTGCCTTACTGATGTTTAAGATTATCACGCAAGGCACGCGCCACAAGCGCTTCAATATATGTCCCATGTAGGGTACTATTGTACCCTATTATTGGTATTCCAATATTTGGGTGTCTTTATGACAGGCCTAAGATAACAAAACCTTTATTAGCCCTTGATTCAAGTAACAGATAACATTAAAGAATTTAATATAAAAGATATTTCAAAAATAACGTGTAGAACAGTATTCTTAGACGCTGTTAGTTCAATTATTTCTCATATTTTATATAGTTTTTTTTTTTATGTTTTGTTGTCATATTTTAGCATTGGCATTGTTAACAACACTGAAAATGCAAATAAAAAATGTTAACAACTAAAAAATAGATCAAAGTGTAAAAGTTATAACAGCCCAGCTCATGATCCGCACCGCAATGAGAATGGTTTCAGCCACCAACTAGACACGTGAGCCTTAGTCCCATTGTAATAACTTCTATAATTCAATACGAAAACACAGGAGCATAGTTGGAAAATCAAGTTAGAACTACTGCGAGTAGATGATGTGTTAGAAGTAGTGTAGGAGCCAACTTGCATTATGGAAGATGGTCCTTTGACCTGCATTAATAGAAGAGCTAGAAAAGTTTTGTGGAAGTCAAATGACAATTAAATTAAAATAATAACACAACTAGCTTTTCTATCTCAACCAAAGATTTTCACATGTATTAAAAGAAATTAAATTATATTTACGAAGCTCAAGCCCCGAATTGAAAATAACTTTAGGAACTATAGAAATAGGTATATATTTATTAACCACATGACCCACGAGGTGTGTCTTCAAAACTGCCTAGAAATCTTGCTAGTATTCTGTTTGGTGCTGTATATACCATTGACGTCTCTCTGTTAAAACAGCATTCCTCAGATCCGAAGCGGCTGAAATTTGGTATTCGAACTGCAAGTCCAATGTGTCAAAAAGGAGTTCATCATTGAATGTTCAGTAAATAATTGGCCCTTGGACGTCTGCACCCTAAGTCCCTAATTCCCGTTCGGAGTCAGTATCTTATGTTAATACATAGTTTGGTTTGTCTTAATTCGTTCGAGTGTGGTGTGAGCACACGGGGCTCAGAGCAGCTCAGTGTCGATCGTTTGTCAAATAGCTCCAACAAAACGATACTCTCTTATTGACATAATTACACACACACACGCACACGCGCGCGAAGAAAGAATTACCTTTCTGGAATTTTATGCCCATTTCATCACAATAGACGTGACGGCTGACAAACAGAGTGATTGATGTGAAGCGACCGTCGCATAATAGACAACCCTCGTGCCCAATTAACGACAAGGGCGGAGGGAAATGTTTATGTAAAATCAAGTTTGCCAACAAATGTATTTAGTTGGGACGCTTATTTGATTTTCTGTACAGGTTCGAGGCTAGAAACTAAGGATGGAGAGGTTTTATCAATAAACTATGCTTATTTACCAGTATATTATAGAAATAAATATCTAAAGCCACAACTAGTTTTGGTGTAATCATTTTAACTAAGCTTAACAATTATGAAAGTGCTAGTGGAAAAAAAATACAATTGTAAAGTGAACTTTTATATCCAAAATATAAATAAATACAATATAAATAGGACCAACAATACAAAAAGGGTATTTTCTTCAATCTACGTCAGCATGGCCAGGTTACCACTTTCCGCGTGTCGGACTCCGAAATTCTTCGCACACGATCTCTGGTGGAGCTCACAGCAGTACGCTCTGATGAACGGCTGGTGACAGTACCGACATGAAAACAAGGCTGAACGCCTTTTAGAATCCAAGGCGTGTCGGCAAACACAGCAATTCCTGCAGACAATTTTTCATAATTTAGGCTGTAAATCCAAAGACTGGTTAAATAAGAGGGACTTATAATGGTATTGACAAGGTCAGGCAGTCAATCTAGAGCATATACTTGACGTAAAGTATACACAGAACATAGAGACAATAAATACGGACAATAATATAATAATAATGGTGTTACCTACCACCCTGCCTATTTCTGCCGTAAACCAGTAATGCGTTTCGGTTTGAAGGGTGGAGCAGCCGCTGTAACTATTCTTGAGACCTTAAAACTGATATCTCAAGGTGGGTGGCGCATTTACGTCGTAGATGTTTATGGGCTCCAGTAACCACTTAACACCAGGTGGGTTGTGAGCTCGTCCACCCATTGAAGCAATAAAAAAAATACATATTTCCAGAAAAACTGAGGACGTGATGTAGAGGTACGCATGTTACCACTAGTGGGAAGGAGGAAAGTATAATATTTACGGCTCACAAGTAAACCGACATGTATTTGGTAAAATTTTTAATAGTATTATAGGAGAGACAAGGTCGTGTTATCTACGACCTCCGGTAGCCGCGTCAGACCAGATAAACCGTGTTCTCGGGCAGACATCGGCGCCCATAAAAGAAAAGAACAGTAATCATAATAGACCACGGCACTACGCTACGTTCAATATCTAATTTATCCACAGTCTGGGTTTAACTGTAATAAAGCGATGCTTCATTAACTAACCTACTTACAACGATTGGGAATACCAGCACTTTTTACAACGACGAAACGTATCCTGCTACTGATCCGGGAAAACCGTTTTGCATAACTTTAAAAATCGATCTAATTTTCCACGCTTCAAAAAGCGACAAAGGCGCAGCTTGAAATCATCTCGGTCACATAGTTTACCGGTTAATGTAAAAAATTAAAAGTACAATTACCTCGTGTTGTCCAAATTATGTTTCTGAATGTGTTCGCTGAGCTGTGACGGCCGACAGAAGGCTGCCCCGCAAATATTGCAGATATAATCCGACTCGCCGATCTTAGACAGCTGGGGGAACTGAACCATGGACAAATATGAATTATAGTCAATTCGGGGCATGTACGACAGGATTTGTCTTATCGTCTCCTTCGATATCTTCAGCAGACCTAACAAACCGATTGGTTCTGTATTCACCGCTATAGTAAAACACCTTTTGTTTTTCTTCGAAACCCTGTTTTTTGTATCTTTTGATAATGAATCCATGATTTCCGTGCACACGTCTTTCGTGGGTTCTTCTAAACTGTTTGGCAGAGAAACAGATCGCGATTTGCCGTTCAATATGTCATCTATATCTTTTTTTATTTTATTACTTTTGTTTATTTCTTCTGATAATATTTTATTAAGTTTTGTGGGTCCTGCATTACAATTTAGTTTTAATGCTTTACTGGTACCAACATCAGAAAAGCTAGAGATTCCACACATTAAGCTCTCCGTGTTGTAAAACCCGAATGTTTCACTTCTAGAAGAGTTCAAATCATTGCTACTTAATTTGCAAGCAGTAGAAGCCGATTTATTATTACCGTAATGAATAAATTTTGTGTTCATGTCAATCATTAATTTATTGATTATATTTATTAACTCATCCAATTTACTTTCAATGTTCCCTAATATATTTTGGTCCATAACAGTATTTACTGTATCCTTATCAATTTTACTGGACTTTGGGAGTATATTCTCTTTTCTGTCTCTTTCTACAGATTCATCACCACCATTAATATATGGAATATTAGCATGTTCGTTTACTTGCACCGAGGTAGTCTTACAAATTTGCTGTTTATTTGTTTTTTCTGGTACAATAGTAGATTTATCAATTTTGTATTTTTCACGATTACATTGGTTTATAGGACTATCATAGGGGTCCTTGTCAATGACTATAGTATTACCACGAAAATCCCTATATTGCGGTGTTCGGGAATAACCTCGACTAAAATTTCGAGCTCTCTCCCTATCCAACAATATAAATCGTCCGTGAGAGGAAGTAGGATAGCAATAGTGTCTATTGCCAAACTCTGACCTTTCTGTTCGTTTACAATTTTCATATTGAGCACATCTCTGCTGTTTTTCGTAAGATCCATAAAAATCTTCAAGCAAATTCTGGCATTGTCTCGATTGGTTCCAACTAAATCGTGTATTGTACAAATCACGTATGTCCGGGTAGTCATCAGCCTTACCTTCGGGTACCCTGAAGTCATCAGCTCTAGAATTATACCCATGTTTACATTTCAGATCATTGATGTATTGTTTCCAAGCGTCTTCCGCCCTCTCTTTTTGACGACTTACCACTATATTTTTAAGTAGACGTTGCAATCTAGCATTCCTGGACATTGTTTTGAAGACAAATGCTTGACTGTAGTAATCAATGGCAGGGCGACAGTATGTCGATTTTTCTGCGTACTTTCCAATGTTTATAAGATACTCATTTAATTCTGTCGGAACGTCGACAAGTGGTTTGAATGTTTTTGTTGAACATGCTTCCGTATTATGTACGTTACTTTCATCTGTAATTTCTCGTGTTTTAATTTCATTATTGATACCACTCGAATCATGTACTTCTATTACTCTCTTTGCATTTGTATTTAAACCAATTAGTTTACAATTACTGTTATGTTCAAAGATTCTGTGATCATGTTTTCTTTTCTTGCAGTTGTTAATATTTGAATTATATTTATCTAAGAAAAACTGTTCATCGTAATAGGTCTTATTATTCATTTTATAAGAAATCACTGAAATTTATCGAAGCACTCATTAGGTTAAATCAAAACATTGAAGTCAATGTCAAAATTAACTTTTATTTTCAATTTGCGGCCGTCAGTGAGAGTTATAAATTAATTTGATGCAGTATTTATGGAATTTACGTTCGTTCGACACAAAAATGGAATACAGGGCCAAAGAGCATATCATTATAAAACTGTTATTGCGTGTAATTTAAAAATTAAACATTGAAATCAATAATCTAATGACAGATCACATAGCTCTCGTAAGAAAGAAAACAAAGCCTAGCAATCTAAACAATCAATGCAAGATATCGGTGTGTGTTTGTGTGTGTGTGTGGACCACACGTTTTACGTTAAGAGTATTGATGCAAATCTGTAATGACAATCCCACGAACAATTATTTGAAATTCGTTTTAAGGAACAACCTTGTAAGGTTTATTTCATCATATTTTATGTGTAATATGATTTGATTGTTATCAGAGATCAATGGCAGGCGAGTGAATAATATACATTTATCTGAGATATCTATAACGTTAGGAATATTATAAATAGTAGAATATTTTCACAAAGAGACTGAATACCGTGTCTGAATATATGCACTGGACTACATGTAGGATCATAATATGATTATGAAAAGACGTATATAAGAGAAACACGTGTTAATACTACATTTAAAGGCAGGAATAGGAAAGGCAGGTGATTTAAAGGCAGGAATAACATCTAAATATCATATGTAGAGTAAAAACTACACTAGAAAATAATAAATAACTAATTGCACCTATTTTATTTTGTTGATACTCAAAGTGACATTAGAACAAATTGTCAAGTTAATCTAACATTTTGAAGTCCGTGAAAATGGCCTCTAAAGATTAATTCATATGCAAACAAACATACATAAATAGCAATCTAATAAAAGAGTGTTAAACAGAAGAAAAATATAATTAAGCTTCGTCAAAAAACAAGAGAATCTGATAAAGAAACCAATAATTCCTGAGCACACGTTTTATTAATTAATTTAAAGTCGATTTTAAATATTTATGTATCGCCCCACGCCCCGGCCTCGTTCGCAGGTTGTCAAATGATTATGTTAATGTCCTCATCGAATATTCATTGGAAAGCTACCCTTACATTTTATCGTTTAAGCTAGTCTTACATTACACTAACTGACACATCTTGCACGTTTGCCTTCACGATTTGGGCCTCCATAACTGAACTCAAACTAACTTAAAGCATCGCAGTATATTATTCAGATCTAAAATCAGATTGACTTCCTATTTTCGTGTATTCTTCATTATCAGCATCACAACGAATACCTAGTTAGTGATATTTAAGAAATGGTGATTAGTAAAAATATTTCTTAAAGTAGAAAGAGATTGTAGCGCGGGAAAAAATATGTCACTGTCACCTCGAAATATAGGCAAAGGCTTACGTTCCAGAAGTCCGCGTCATACTCTGCGTCTGTTGTAGTTCCAGCTTTATTATTGCTTTTGCTGTTTCATTTCGTGTCATGTATAGTGTATAGTTCGCTAGAGTGACATGGGACATGTCTTCGAGTTTTTCTTTCTTCCATTGTCAGCGGCTAAAGTCACCCTAACGCTTTTGGAAATGATTCTAGTTTTTTTATTCAAGGCTGGTGGACGAGAGAGCAATGTTAAATGATACCGACAGTTCATGGACAATGGCGAACGTTGTTAAGAATTGAAACATCCATAGCCTAATGAGCTAGACATAGTCTTAGCGACGAATCAACTTCAATGAATTCAATCAAATATACAATCTACGATGAAAGCATTCATATAACTTAAATAAGTCTCCTTTACCCAATCATGTACCCGATGCCGACCGAGGGGCGGGCCCCTCGATAAGCTAATTAAACTTTACCCATTTCAATAGCAAATCACAATACTCTGTCCCCTCGCGAGAGTCTGTAAACAAGCTGAAGGTGACCTTATTGACCTTCATAACGCCCCGGACATCAATCCCAATAGTTATAAACTGCGATATTGTTTCGGCTTCAAAAGTTTACGAATGAGTCTGTCTGGTCTGACGAGCCGACCGTCCTGATCGATTGAGAATCAGCAACGCTAACGACTACGTCAGTCCAGCGTTCTTGGAATGGCCGAGCCTCTGATTGCAGTGCTTAGCGTCCTCTCCTACTCCTACCTATCCCGACTCCTACCCCTACCTATCTCGACTCTCCAGGGGAGAGGCCCAGACAGGAGTGCAGCATTTAGTGAGCGACTTCGTTAATCCCATTAATTCGTGGATCTCGTACTAAATCGGACGCAGGCCCAAAAAGTAAAACTGAAAATACCAAAAGGCTGTGATCCATAAGGACGGTCGTCTGACCTAGCTCAGCCGTGAAATGGTCAAGCCTGCTGATTCATTGGGCTATAGGCTAGGTCCCTGGTGTGCAAGCTAACATCACTAACAATAAGGCTGTTGTTATTACCCTTTGGATATTCTTAAGCTATTCAAGAAACTATAACGTAACCAAATGAAGTTTCTCAGGGAAACATTCCCCTCACAATCCTCGTAAAATAAGACAAACCTTGTTATTTATTGTACGTACACGTGAAGGTGAAGGCTGAAACCCGCTGAGCGTCGCCATGGCAACCAGCGATCAGGCCTCCGATATCAAATCATATTTACTGTGAACATTCCAAATAATTGGACAATTTCAATATAATGCCCTAGATTTTCTGTCGTCGTTGATGTATTAAAGAAATTATACATAATGTCCTTGTTACTTATAACATATTTTTCCATGCCACATTATTTAAAATGAATCGAATATAATGATTGTTTTTATTGATGCAAACAAGAGTTATGTTTTGTGTCATAAAGAACGTTGCAGGGCTCGATCCTGGTGAAACCACGGGACATGAAGCATCACGTTACTTTCGAAACACACAACACGCTCATACAGCGTGAGACATGAGGTTGAAGTCTCAAACCCTTTGTACAACGACGATTCCATCCTTCAAACCATGAAGAGTGACTACATCGCCACAAGAATGGGCAGGTCGGCGGTACCCATCATTTTGGTTCTACAACATGCTCTACCATCGGTAAACCAATATGCAGTACAATATGCAGCCCAATAAAGACATGATGAATGAAATATAAGCAATAATTGTATTTGTGGGAGCGAGACAAAAACAGTCATTGTGTCGTGTCCTCGGTGCACAGAATGGAGTCCTCTTCGATCCTGTTTGATGTTATTATTCATGTGTTAGCATTATTGTATCGCGGACAGTTCTTGGGCACCGCTTCTTTACAGTTTAGGGTTCAGCATTAGAAATTGTTAGATATTTACATTCGTACTTGCTGTATCGGCGGCGTCGTCTCACGCATCTGGAGCTACATAACCCTATCTAACACAAGTGATAAAATCATTTTCCTTTCCATAATTTTAAAACATACAATAGCTTTATTGTGCCTCCCTTTGTGCCATTAGCCTCGAGGGTCAATTAAGACTTCGCCGTGATAGGTGATGAACTCACAGAGCTCAGCTTTAAAGAACTCACATCTGCTCTAGAATGACAGCGGTGCACAGAATCTACCGCCGGAATCGCAACCCACTGAGGAGATCCGGCGAAAAACTTCTGTGTACATTTATTTTAAGATTTTCATCATGGTGTAACCGCCATCATGGATCACAAGAAGTTTTAACAAACATTTTACATTCAATGATGTTCACAGCGAAGTGAGACTGGGCCGCAATAGTGGGTACTATACTGGGTGAATGAATAAAATCCATCTTGCCAAGACCCGAACAAAAATTAAACTCGAAAATAAACATAGAGAACCATTGAATTGTAAAAAGTTTTTTACAAA